GACTGCAGATCAAGATGTCGCTGGTTCAAATCCAGATGCCCTCTCGTTTCTCATTGGTATGTTGGATTTGGTCTGAACAAAGATGGGCATTGACCACAAGTCTTTAAATCCTGACACCATGCTAGATAGTATTGTTTTGTGGGTCAAATATACCTCATGTGCTCAGCCGAAAACCTTTAAAGTTTTAAACCAGTTGATGAACAGGGAAATTAATCATATCTACTAATATCTACATGCCGGGACAGAGATCTCTGTGAAAATGCTAAGGAACATGAACATCATTGAACACAAGGGGGTATAGCTCAGTGGTAGAGCATTTGACTGCAGATCAAGAGGTCGCTGGTTCAATTCCAGATGCCCCCTCCTTTCTCATTAGTATGTTGTATTTGGTCTGAAAGACGATGGGCTTTCACAACAAGAGTTTAAATACTGACACACTTACACCATCCTGGGCAGAATGGTTTTGTGGGTCACATGCTCAGCGGTAGACCTTTAAATTGTGACCAAATTGTGTTCATCTACATTCTTAGAATATGTTCTGTGCGAAAACACTGGGGAATATGGAGCATGGTTAATGTAAGGGAGTATAGCTCAGTGGTAGAGCATTTGACTGCAGATCAAGAGGTCTCTGGTTCAATTCCAGATGCCCCCTCCTTTCTCATTGGTATGTTGCATTTGGTCTGAATGAAGATGGGCATTGACCACAAGCCTTTAAATCCTGACACCATGCTAGGTAGTATTGTTTTGTGGGTCAAATATACCTCATGTGCTCAGCCGAAACCTTTAAAGTTTTAAAACCAGTTGATGAACAGGAAATTAATCATATCTACTAATATGTACATGCCGGGACAGACATCTCTGTGAAGATGCTAAGGAACATGAACATCATTGAACACAAGGGGGTATAGCTCAGTGGTAGAGCATTTGACTGCAGATCAAGAGGTCTCTGGTTCAATTCCAGATGCCCCCTTTTTTCTCATTGGTATGTTGGTTTGGTCTGAATGAATATGGTCTTTGACAACAAGTGTTCAAATCCTGTTTCCCTGACACAATGCTGGGCAGTATGGTTTTGTGGGTTAAATACACCTCATGTGCTAAGCTTCTGGACTTTAAAGTTTTAAACCTGTCGATGAACAGAGAAATAAATCATATCTACTAATATTTTACATGCCGGGACAGACATCTCTGTGAAGATGCTAAGGAATGTGGAGGTCCTTTAACTAAAGGGGGTATAGCTCAGTGGTAGAGCATTTAACTGCAGATCAAGAGGTCTCTGGTTCAAATCCGGATGCCCCCTCATTTCTCATTGGTATGTTGGATTTGGTCTGAAAGACGATGGGCTTTCACAACAAGAGTTTAAATCCTGACACACTTACACCATCCTGGGCATAATGGTTTTGTGGGTCACATGCTCAGCGGTAGACCTTTAAATTTTGACCAAATTGTGTTCATCTACATTCTTAGAATAAGTTCTGTGCGAAAACACTGGGGAATATGGAGCATGGTTAATGTAAGGGGGTATAGCTCAGTGGTAGAGCATTTGACTGCAGATCAAGAGGTCTCTGGTTCAAATCCAGATGCCCCCTCATTTCTCATTGGTATGTTGGATTTGGTCTGAATGAAGATGGGCATTGACCACAAGCCTTTAAATCCTGACACCATGCTAGGTAGTATTGTTTTGTGGGTCAAATATACCTCATGTGCTCAGCCGAAAACCTTTAAAGTTTTAAACCAGTTGATGAACAGGGAAATTAATCATATCTACTAATATGTACATGCCGGGACAGACATCTCTGTGAAGATGCTAGGAACATGAACATCATTGAACACAAGGGGGTATAGCTCAGTGGTAGAGCATTTGACTGCAGATCAAGAGGTCTCTGGTTCAAATCCAGATGCCCCCTCCTTTCTCATTGGTATATTGGATTTGGTCTGCAAGACGATGGGCTTTGACAACAAGAGTTTAAATCCTGACACACTCACACCATCCTGGGCTGTATGGTTTTGTGGGTCACATGCTCAGCGGTAGACCTTCAAATTTTGACCAAATGGTGTTCATCTACATTCTTAGAATAAGTTCTGTATGAAAATACCAGGGAATATGGAGCATGGTTAATGTAAGGGGGTATAGCTCAGTGGTAGAGCATTTGACTGCAGATCAAGAGGTCTCTGGTTCAATTCCAGATGCCCCCTTGTTTCTCGTTGGTTTGGTCTGAATGAATATGGTCTTTGACAACTAGTGTTCAAATCCTGTTTCCCTGACACAATGCTGGGCAGTGAGGGTTAAATACACCTCATGTGCTAAGCTTCTGGACTTTAAAGTTTTAAACCTGTCGATGAACAGGGAAATAAATCATATCTACTAATATTTTACATGCCGGGACAGAGATCTCTGTGAAGATGCTAAGGAATGTGGAGGTCCTTGAACTAAAGGGAGTATAGCTCAGTGGTAGAGCATTTGACTGCAGATCAAGAGGTCGCTGGTTCAAATCCGGATGCCCTCTCGTTTCTCATTGGCATGTTGTTTGGTCTGAATGAAGATGGGCTTTGACAACAAGTCTTTAAATCCTTTAAAATTTATTGGACACGCCAACAGGAAAGTGTGTTTGAGAGAAATGAAAGATATGCAATAAAATCCATCAGTCCAGGACTCAAACCTGTGACAGTTGCATCAAGGACTAAGGCCTTGATCGATGTGTCACACTTTACTCTTCCACCATGGCTAGCCCGGTTCTCATTCTACTGGAGAAATCCAACTCAATGGAAGAAAGTGCAGTCAGACAAATGAAGAGAAATCGGAAGTGCATATTTAAATAAAATGTCTGAACTTCCAAACTTGATAAGTAAATAAAATTTTTTGGAAAATATTAGTGGAGCAAATACACTGTTGACTTTGAACATAACTGTAAATATCTCCCACCCAGGGAATTGAAGAAATACGATCTGTACAATTGTTAAAATTGTTATTCCTCCTCGGACCAAAAATAAAAAGGTTGTGGCAGCTCACTGAGTTTTATGTAAATGTAGACATGTTGGCTTTTAAATGCAGTCTGAAACCCCTCCAGCCTCATGCTCTTCCTTTTCTTCCCTGGGATCTTCCTAATTTCAGTGAAAATGGGTTCAGTTTGTTCCAAAGAAACAGCTTTGTGATGCTGTAATCAATACAACGAAATGTGTGAAACAATATATGTTAAGAAAAAAAGAAAAGCAGAGAGCCAACCTTTCTCTGCAGTCTTTGAAACATCCAGACAAATTAATATATTTACAGACATGATTGATGGATTCTTGTTCTCCCCCCAAGTCACGTCGGTCTCACGGCAATGGGTGGTGAGACGTTACCACCATGTCCTTTATGAGGCATGCACTTTATTTTAACTATTAATAGAACCGAACCACAGGTATTTTGGCCCCATCCTCTGAACGGCTTAAACATTTTTTAACATTCTTTCAAGTATTTTTGAGAAGCGTCGAAAACCAGAAACGGTACGTCTTTTGAATTCGACAGTAAAAAGCTGAACAGTTCCCCGCATGTGTGTGCAGTGAAGCCACAAAGAGCTGCTTCACGTCTACCCTTCAGCCCGTAAACAGGCTCATTTGTGCAATTTGCGTGCGTTAGAAACCGAAAGCCGAGCCCAGATTCTGCTGATTGCGGAGTTAATGAAACCCACACTCAGATGTGATGCAAAGGCAGTTCCTCGACAATTGAGAAAAATGTGTTCATTAACATCTGTTTACGCGCAAGCGTCCAGAAACAGCAATCTGAAGGCAGCCAGAAGTAACAAAAGCTGAAAAAGACATTCCTCTTAGAAGCAGGGTAAACTAACACCGGCTTCCTTCAGTTGTACAGGCGTAGACAATTTGGCTTCAATATGAATGATTGAAAACTTGGCACAAAAAAAATTGGACATGACTTACAGAGTCTGCTGCATCAAATTAATGAATAAACATTAAACATAGAATCTTCCTGGCTTGCATCCGAATGCATCTTCAGGTTACCTGAAAAGAAGCAGAATTATTATTTTTCTTTCCTGCAAATCGCGTTTATATTCACATTTCACCTCCATTCTCCACTCAGACGTTCACTGGTCTGAACTGGGCAACCTCCGGTGTTGTGTAAATTCTAGTCGAGTTCCTGAACGACCCATCTCGCATCAGGCTGTTACTCCAAAAAACATTTAGAGGAAAAAAAGCAACAACCCCCCCACCCCCAAAAAAAAACAGCCAGGCCAAAACTGACAGAATAATAAGACGACTGAAGCCAGACTAGAAAAGGAAAGAAACGGACACGCAGCCTGCACTTCCTGAGCAGCGTGGTTCTGTCTGCACCCTGTTTGTCCAGCTTTGATGCACTTTTTCAGAAGCCAAAAGAGCAATTTGCCAGTAACTCAGGCCAAAATAATAAAGACGCTGCTTTGACTGGAGCGGAGAAAGTTCCAGAGCTCTGCTTCACTCTGTTGTGATTTTGGTCTGAAATTGTTTACTATACAAAGTCTTGAATTTGGAGCATCTCTATGAAACCGACAGCTCCAGTTAAGAGATGATACCAATGATCAGCAGAGGAAAACATTTGGTTGACCGTCAAAACGTTTTGCAACCGTCAACAAATTTGACTTCACCCGTCAGGTATGCATGCTCTTATTTTGAAAGGGTAAAGACTGTTTACACAGCAGTTCCATTTCCTCTCCCGTCTGTTGCTCTCTTTAAGAAAGTGAGCAAATTGCAAGCATGCTACGAACCAACAAATGAGGTGTGAAACAACCAACCCAGAATGTGAAGTTACTAAGTCCAAGCTCAACTCGACTGCAACCGATTTTCAAAATTCAAAAACAAAACCAGCTGAAAGTTACACTGGTACGTTTGTGAGAGGTCTTAACATTTACATCAAGAAGGATAAGAAAATGATTAAATCCAAGACTTTATTTCCCACCATGTTTACAGTCGAGGCTGAGAAGTTGGGAACCACATTAGAGGCTCCGTTCCAATCCCAGTTTGGAATTTCATTACAACTGGCATCGAACACGGTCGAGGGATTCACACCTTGCCTCCACGCTGAGACTTGGAGCCACTTGCATGTTCTCTGCCCGGCTATGGCGGAGCTGGCACAGTTTCTCACGCGCGTCTCCTTGAGTCTCGTTCTTGCTCACTCGGTTTTCCTTGGCAGTTGCCGAGAGCGCGCCGTCCTGCTTCAGACTCCAAGCAAAACAGAACAGAAACTTCACAAGGGAGACAGAAAGCTCAAATAGACTGAAACTAAATAATTTGGTCACACGGATATTTGTCGACTGTCTGGTGACCAATTGGAGACATTCTTGTCCTTCGGAAACTGAGATAAAACGATGATGTTCATTTTCAACGCTGTAAAACAGAATATGCTGCACCAAACCTCTTCCCCAAAATTATTCAGACAATAAAGCATCCTGATAGAATAAATGAAAATCAGGCCATTTTTCAACTAAAAAGTAGACAGATTGAGACTGTGTACCTCTAGCCAGTATGACATTGATGTTATGTGTTGACAGACTCTTGCTACAGATTCCAGAAATTCTTTATTTAGACATTTAGTTAAGAGGACAAAGATATGTTGAAAAAACTCAAAATTAAAAATAAAACCCAACAGACCTAAGACCCAAGAGATAGGCAAGAAAACATACAATAAAATTCTTGGCCAAGGAAGATATGAACCAGTTGGACAGATCCACACTTTCTTTCTATGCAAAGCACATCAACCTTAGAATATAACCCAGAAGAAGCACAGCTAGCAAACAAAGTCAATTCAGATTTGTGAGGCTGCCAGCAATTTAAATGTTGTGGCCCAATCAGAACTGCACAAAAATTGAAAATTAAAATCACTCCATCACAGAATACAGTCAACACTGAGTTAGCCGAGGGCTTTTGGCAAGCTAATCAGAAGTAGCAAACTTGATTCTTAATGATACTGGAGAACAAAAAAAGTTGAAAGCTATTTAATAAAAAAAAAAACAACTTTTTTTAAATATGCATATTAAAGTTTAACACTCCTCCAAATAAAAGAGGTAATACAGCCTCCAATTCAAACAGCTGGTCTAGCTTTAGCTTCTGTTAGCGATGCGTTTGGATCGCCTCAGTCCAGCCACAGGCTGCTGGGATTTCACTGGCGCCTTCTGTTCCCTTCTCTCTCTTATCTTTACCAGCTTCACTGGGTCTCCTTTCCCTGCTCCAGATTTCTGTTTTGACACTTCTGATCCTGGCTGAACTACGTTAACACTCTCCTCATTCTTGGTGGATTTTGGTCTCGATTTACATGCAGTTTTGTCAACACGCGATTTAACAGCCTTCCTTTGGCGTTGCTGATGGCGTCCTTCACCACTCGCAGGTTGGGGCTTTTCAGGATCCTCCTTCAACTCTTCACCTTTGTCTACAGAAGAAAATACAGAATAAGTATTTCACAGCGTTACAATTCAACTGAGAAACAAGCACTGTAAAAGCACTAACTTCCTGCTGGAGGAGGTCTGATTTCAGAACTGTCAATTTTCTCATCAGCTCCAGAATCTTCAGCTGAAAGTCAGAATGGTTTACTACAGCAGTTAAATGGAAATGTTTTCAGCAGAATCAGGTTACAAGCAAAACAATTAGTCAATTGAGTTAGTGGCTGTTTGGTTCTCATTTCTTGCCCTATGGCGAGCAGAAACCAATCACCAGATCCATGTTCCTCCCAACCTTTGGCAAGTTGTTTGCTGCTAAAAAATGGGGATGGTGCAGGTCTGCCAGGTAAAAATATAATAGCCACTCACTGTTTTAATCTGTAGAAGTGTAAGAGTACATTAAAGGAACGCCATTGTCAATGCTAACCACGTCAACCTCTACGACTGACGGGTATCCTTGGGAGCAACAACCCAGGTAAAAGGCATTTCTTACCTCCTCACTGGCAACTTGCATTTCAAGATGGCCTCTCTCTTCAGCTTCTTTCTTGAACCTTAAACATTTCCAGGTCATTTTAAACGGGAGTCTCACTGTAAACATTTAAAGAGGCATTTCGTTGAAGGCATTACGTTTCTGCAGCAGTTGCCTCCATCACTGCAATGACTTTCTTTTTTTGGTCAGTTAATCTTTGGATTTCTTCCATTTTGATGAGAGCCAGAAGTGACTTTGTATCCAGATGTGTGAAGTCAGAAGGTGAGGTCTCTCTCAGGACCAGTTTGGCCCAGTTGGCCAGATCGTCACTCGACGGGATCTGAAGGGGAAAACATGGGAATTTATTCTTCAACGTGGACAAGGACCGGCTATGTTAGAGCTCCAACTTGTCCCTCTAGTTACGGCAACATTGACGCACTTTAAAAGTTATTGTCACAATTGAAATGTGTTGAATGCCTAATTTGTGGACATTTTAGCAACATTCTTATAGAAGCCGTTGCACACTGTAATCCAGAAAACCTTACCAGGCTGAAGGTGGCCTGCGTCGTCGCCCTAGACACAAGTGCAAGCTCCAACATCTTCACCTCCATTTTCAGCAGGGCCTGAGTCTCTGCCAGTTGTTCCTGTGGACAGTTTCACTCTTCAAGAGAGGACGATTCACCTGTGACAGACTTCTGCCAGAGACCAAAACTACCTGAAGCTTTTTTACATGTTCTTCCTCTGCCTTTTTTCTGATGAAGTTTAGGTCATCAGGAGTGAGATGGTACCCCTTCATGCCCTTCAGCATAGTATAAGGGTTCTCTAAATTTAAACACAACGAGGCAGTAGTGAGAAGGCAGGTCATTTATTTCAAGAGGGACATCCAAGAGTCAAGTTACCCATTTTAAGACTGCTACAACCAAACACCTTAACATCTCCATCTGCCTGTGAAGAGAGAAGAGTTGAGTCAGTCACGAGAGCTGAAGTAATGACAAGCAATAACTGGTGAAGTCATTGCTTGACTGTAGGGCAAGCAATGCACCTTTGCGTTGCTGTTCGGCATCACAGGTTCCACATCCTCAAAATCCAAATGTTTCTTTACACTCATCATAGGAGGAGTGCGGGGCAGCTGGCGACCTGATGGGATGTGATTTGCACTGCGCAGTACAACTTCAAAGAGACCCTCTTCCATTTTTTTCTGCTTTTGGGAAGGAACAAAAACAACAGTACCACCGAACTCAAGCTCTAAGACTTTGGATAAATACAGCAACATAAACCAAGGGTAAAACTTTACATTTCAAACTTACTGGTTCCTCTAGTTGTTTGCTGAGAACTTCCACAAGTCACCATAAATAGCAGCACGACTGACTTTTGTCAGTCAGCTATCACCTCATGATTGCTTTCAGCTGATTCAGAGCGGCCTGCTGTTCTGTTTTTGGCCACCAGATGGAGGCAGAGCACAGAAAAACCTTTTGAGAATGAGCTAGGAACAGTACTGTGATTGAAAGTGTATTTTTACAAAGGTAAAACTATGGAAGTAAATATGTGTCATCAGGATTTGAATAAAAAGTGCCTCTGAAATTTGAATGTTGTATATTAGTGTTTACTTTTTCAGTGTTAAAATAGATTCCGAATATATTTTTCACCTAAACAAAAATTCAGTGTCATTATTTGTACATGGTTGTAATTTTCATATGTTACAAAAAATTCACATTCCTATTTCAAAGTGATAAAATTTTCAGGGTACATATTTTTCCAGTTTAATTTTTCAGCGTTAAAAAAATTCAGCATATAAAAATGTAAACTTTCAAAATTCAAATGCAATATTTTCAATATCCTCAAATCCAACCTGCACTCAATTCAGCGTCTAAAAATTCGCTGCTAAAAATGACGAGGTTACTTCCGGTCACAGACATGAGCAATGGATGTCAGATTCCAACACCCAGCCAATCACAAGACACCGCCGCCATATTGAAGAAATAACAGCATCACTGAGGTTGGCGCCATGGAGGCAAACACTAACCCAATGGCGAGTTTAATGCTTTCATATTTCTGTAGTACATTTTATTTTGCGCCTGAAGTTTGATAAATTATCTTGAAGCTTGATTTGAAACACGGGTTTGGTCCGTTGTTAGTGCTGCCATATTACTTCTTGTTACCTCCTAGCATCCCAGCTACCCAATTTCCCCTGTTTTATTCAAAAAAGAAAGAAATCTTTAAAGAGAAATGATGAGTGGAGACTTTCTGGGTTGTTTGAATGTTGTCTTAGGTGAGTCTGAGACAAGCAGTCATTACTAAAGTCCTAATTTTTATGGAGATGCTACTGCTAATATAGGAAGCTAATATGGCTGCCTTGGGAGCTTCAAGTGAACACTTCCTGCATTATCTTTAACCCACACCCCCATTCTGTTTAGTTATTTTATTGTTATGGTGACTTCATTTATGAATGAATTAATAAATTTATTGTCATTACAACATAATACAAAATACCAGTTACCTACCAAACGCCAAGAATTCCTTGTCACTACAGAAATTACAAATATTTCTGTGACTGGCTTTGGCTTGCTTTGAATGATCAACCTATTAAAAAAAATAAATTTAAGCTGTAACAATTCTTTGTGAAGGAGCTTTGTTAAAATGAACGTTTTGTTGAAATGTAGAATCAATTACATTTTCTGATGTCGGATCACATGTCCGATACATATTATAATCATATGCATTACTCATTAGTTCTCTAATTCATCTAGTTTTGTCAAAATCAAATTAGTGTAACAATGTTCAGAGTAGATATTTCATTTCTCTGAGTCGGTACTGTTTGTACAGGCAGTTTTAAATATGAAACTGAAATTGTTTTGATGCAAAATTTGATTGATACTATGCTTGAAGTACTACAAAAAAAAATTGCATAAGACAGACTAACTTTCTGCATCAAATTTCTTATGATGCAAGAAATTTAAAGTCCTACAACAATGTGCAAATTACATTATATTGACGTTTAGATGCTGCCAAAAAAATAAATAAAATGAGAGCAGCTCCAAATACGATGTGTGAGCTTTTTACTTTCATTTCAGCAGGAGCAAAATTCACAAGTTAAATCGGCTTTAACAAGCTTAAAAACAAAAAACAAAAAATGTTCTGATCTTACCTTCAATAAAGATTCCCAACCAGAGAAATACACAGCGTGACATTCTGTGCGCCAGAATTTCAAATTCTTCTTCTTCTTTTCTATTATGGCGGATCGCAAGCAACTTTAAGGTGCATACCCCCACCTACTAAACGCGAGTGTGTAGTGACAGTATTCTACATCAGTCAGATTTTATTTTTAAATTTTGTATTTAAATAGTGCTTTCCTTATTATGCAAATATCCATTATTTTTTCATCATTTCCCAGTATTCCTTTCAAACTCCATTCTTGATCTGTCCTTCCAACAGATTGTGTTGTGTCAGTTCTGACTGAGATTAATAAAGTATATTCATTCATTCATTTACAACAAAACGGCTGAAAAAGAACATAAAAAATAATGCACTTTTTTTTTTTACATCTATTTGAAGATACTTTGTTTTTCTTTGCCTGTAATTCCAAGTTTACGTAGTTTTAAATGAATGTAAAAGAAAAGAGACAAAAATCTTGATTTCTCTGTTTTGTTAAATCTTTATTTCAATATCAAATTTAAAACATTATACTTTCTGGCTTTACATCATGGAGTTACAAAGATTCAAAATATTTAAAGTCCTCATAGATTCACAGTTTCTTTTTGATCAACAGCAGCAACTTTGACATTTGTCTAATTTGTTATGTAGATGCATTCATTAACTTCAGTAAAACAACAATAACAAACATTCTCTATATTTTTTTGAAAAATAAAAAAAAACATTTTTAAAACAAAGAAATGTGAGACCCATTACTTCAAAAAAAGCAGGAAAACAATCAGGCAATACTTGAAGAGGTGCAAGTATGTTTTTGTTTTTAATGTTTAAGGACATGGTTACAAAAAATGTTTTGTCACCATCTTTGATCAAATTTGGTGGAAAAACCAAGAAAAGCATAACTGAGAACAACACAAAATCAGAAAACATTTGATGCTCTTGCACTTGTAAACACTGATTGTTGTTCAATGGAACAGAGACAAAAACTCGATTATCGGTTTTCTTCCTATTAACTTCAGGAATAGCTGCCTAATCGGTCAGATATTGCTGAGTTACCCAAACAAAAAGGTCAAAATTTAGTGTTCCTGTTGTTATGGCGATGGATATAACCCACCGTTTAGTTTTTGTTTTTCAGGTGATCGTTGTCTGAGGTTTTAGCTCGACGCTGGTGAGACGTTCATCCTTAAAATGAATCACAATATGTTAGTAAGACACTAACGGTCCTGGACATTGGAAACTGATGTTCTTTATATCATGTGAGGGAGGAATAGATCGATCAAATCCTTACTTCTGGTTTTCTGTGGAGTCCTCTGAAGGTTTCTTATTCCTGTGGTTGATTTAACAGTCAGCAAAGAAATGTTTTGAGACTTTAGTGAGGAAAAAAAAACTGAGCAACAAAACCACTGATGGACGTACCTTCTCTGAAATCTTATTCCGAGCAGGATGGCTAAACAAACCACGACTGCCATGAGAGCAGCAATCAAAGGCAATTCTTTAAAGCAAAAAAAAAAGAGAGATGAGATACATTTCAATGACAGAAAGAATGGAAAACTCCATATGCGGGAATCTCGACATGTACTTACGATGGGTGTGGCAATACGATCGACATTGTTTGACCAACCCTGACAAATGAGATTAAAACACGTAAAATAGACCAGTCACTGAAAAAGAATCCAACGAGAGCCTTCCAAACGGTTCCTCACCATCATCAGACGTCTCTGAGAGTCCAGGAACGATGACCAGCAGATCTCTGAGAGCAGCAGAGTCCAGTGATACTGAACATCCAACCTGTGTGATGTTGAGAGCTGAGAGCAGAGCTGTAGTGGTGGAAGTGATGGTACCGTTTGTGTTGGTCTCTCTGCTGGTGTTATAGTGAGAGAAGTTGAGGTTCTGATGGAGAACAGTCAGTGTTACCATGGGAACAGGTCGACCTGTGGCTGAACAGGTCACCACCGACCCTGGAGGAGAGTCTGATCTGCTGACATCAATGAAGGGTCCATGCAGCTCTGTGGAGAGAACAGAGATCAGGATTAATATCTAGTTGTAGAAGTTAAATCTATGAAACTTTCAGGTTCTCACCATAAACCTTCAGACATGTTTCAGCTGTCAGAGCTCCATCAGGATAGGCATTAAACAGACACAGGTAACATCCTGCATCCTGCTCCGTAACATTCCTGATAACTATCGAGATCTTCCGCAGTCCAGCTTCTGTAAACTGAACTTTATCTTTAAATCCATCATTCACTGTTTCACCAAAATACTCGCTGTAGGAAACAATATTCCTCTCTCTTTTCTCCAAGACCTTCTGCCAGGTGACCTGCTGGACGTCTTTAGTTTCCATCAGCTGACAGCTGAGAGGAACATCTTCTCCTACTGCTGCCAACACCGTCTGCTGGTTTTGGATCAGAACTGCTAGACCTGTATGAAGGAGATCAGATGACCTGTATCTGGCTTTTATGACAAATGTTTCACTTTTTGTGACAAATGTTTCACTTTGTCATCTCAAAACCACAAACTTCAATATAGAGTTGAATGTTGTAGATATGCAACAGTTGCAGCATGAATGAGCCATTTTGATAGTCAAAGTGGGCAGAAAGGTCCAGTAGTCATTAAAGGGCAAGTTGTAACTAACTGCTAAAAACGAGTTGATATCACATGTTTCACTTTTATTTGTAATGCAGTCAGTTGCACTTTATTGTCCTGTAGGGGTAATAAAGTGAAGCAGATTCAGCAGAAATGCATGCCACACTTTTCAGATTTATATTTGTAAAAAAAAAAAAAAAAAAAAAAGAATCTCTTGCATTAAATATGCTTGAGTTTGAAATAGGACAAAATGCAGAGCATGAAAACCTTTACATGCTGTAACAAATACAAGAAATGATCCACCGCCAAAACATTGTTCACTTGTTTGCTGTCATTTTAAAACATGATCAAAATACAGAAGTTAAAAACGTCTTTAATTTACAAAACTGTCCCCAGCTTAAATGTTGTGATCTCACCTTTATTCCAGATCCCCAACAGGACAAACACAACCGGTGCAGATGATATGATCTCCATGTGAGCCACAATTTCATCTGAATATTAAACACAACGAGAAGCTGAAGGAGTGAAGCACAAAACTGAAATAAACTAGAATTTAATTCTGATTCAAACTCTGAGCAAACAGCACAAACTATTTCAGGTTAAACGTTGATCTCGATTAAAATGTCCGTGCCACCAAAACGACTGTTTACTTTCACTTCCGGTTATGACATTTATGTCACGTGACTACAGAGTCAATTTCAAAATATATAAATAGATAAAATCCTAATATTAAATTCCAAGCCCAGTTTACACCACACAGTTTTCCCTAATGGACTTTGAGAAAAGGAAATGTATTTGTTAGATTATTTCTATTATTTATTTTTTGTAAATGACAGTTAAGACCTTTGACCTTGTGTTCTCTGTAAAACTGCTAGGCTAGACAGAAAGCAGTTTGAATCAATCTTGGTTAATATTGAGTTAATTCTCTTTCAGTGGCTTGAGATGGAAGCAAATTATACTGAAATTCAGCAATAATTTCAAAGATATGGAACCCCAGAGGCACAGGCAGATAAAGACTATCGCACAACCCTAACGCCAAATCAAACAGTGCTTTTTAATGATGTTACAGGAAATCAGAAAACACACATAACACAACAATAGCTGCTAAAACAAAACCAAATACATTCTGGTTTCCAGTTTAGTGAAATATACTCAAAAACCTAAAATGGGTACCAATAAGAAGGCTTCTTAATTTTGTATTTCTAAATTAAAAAAAAAAAATCTATCATTTGATCAATTGGTTTCTACCAATTGATCAAATGATAGATTTTTTTTTTTTTTTACGAATGAGAATGAATTATTTGTGTAAAAAGATTTGTATAAAAACAGTAAAGAACAGTAAATCAAACAATTCCTGAAAAGGAAATAAATAAACCACTAACATCTAAACAATCAAATTAGTCCCTGTAAACAGTATCTATTCATTGGTCAAGAACTTGGTAACGGGCTTTTATTCTATTAACTTGAGTTTAGCTGCCTTATCAGTTTGATCAGATATTGATTAATGACTGTTGGCATCAAAAACGTACCTCGACACATTCATACATGTTGGAGAAATACCAGAATGTCGTGTATTATTTCTGACATAGAAAGTATTTTTGTAATGACTCAAGGTAATAAGAAGTTGCACAATTCAGAGACTGAGGTCCAGAGAAACGTCAGGGAGCAAAAACAATCTTTAAAACATCTGCAGACAGAGAGCAAAAATACATTGCATCAGGCGAAAATCATTCTGCTAACGAACTCAGAGTTGCATAGTTGCTTTATTCACCTCTCTGATAACAGAGGCGGAGACTCAATCTTCTAAGAACAAACAAAAGAAACAAAGGAAAACAGACGGAACAGTTCAACCAGTTCACTATCAGCTCTCATATTTATATTTATACAAAACATTATACATTACAAATTCTGAACACTTTAGCTCTTTATCATTGACCATAAAAGCATTAAAATTCACATTTGTGGTAACATATGTTCAGATTTTTATTGAACAATACCACAGCTGAATAAGGCCAAACCGTAACCAAGCAACCGAAATCAATAGAAGAGTAATCAATAGATAAGCAAAAGACAAAACTAGATCCTGTTGAGAATTCTTCAAAATAAAAGCCTCCCGCTCTTCAAAATAAGTCATGCTTTGAATTTAATTACAGACACCATGATTATGATTAGTTACCTATATACAGTCAGATGTTATTATTCACCGAATTTAACTTGATTGTACATAATTGCAAAACAGACAAATCCCCCAGAATCCACCTTGGCTTTGGCCCGACTTGCTGACTACGCCCCGGTTCTGGTTGATGGGGGAATAATATTGTAATAGTCGATTTTAGATGATCAAATTTTAAATGACGTCGGAATAAGAAATAGCAAAAAGTTACACTAATATCCATCAAGTCAAGTCAAATTCTACATTTATAAAACATGAAACCAGACTGAAAAATAAAGAGATGAGACTGCTCACAGAAGTTTAGCTTTATTTAGTTAAAATGTGTTTCATGTCACACAGAAAATACAGAATACCTTCACCTAAAAGCACAAACCTAAAATTTACCTAAACTTTTAAATGTGTATTATGTTAAGAATTTATTTGCATTCCAACATTTTTTATTGTTAAATATAATAAGTGTACATAATAAAACTGATCTTGTTTGCAGGAGATGTTTTATAAAACATCTCTGCCTGATTCTGTCAGCTTAAAGTGGTTCATCCGGGTATTTTGCTGCAGGCAGTATCTTCAGTGGAGACGCGTTCTTGGTGCAAACGTAGGCGAACAGCTTCTCAGTGAAAGTGTGTTTGAAGGTGTGAAGATGATTGTCGGCGTCGAGGTCAAAAAACGAAACTTTCCCTTCCTCCCAGTCCAGCCGAACCCGGATCCTGTGGAGCTTCGTCACTGGCAGAACCGTGCTGGGAACCGCGCAGGATGTCGCCGCGTAGCTCCCATCGCTGAGACAGATCCCCCAGAACCCGGCCCGAATCTGTCCCTTTCTGGGGACGGACTCTGACAGCACACCCACACCCCAGAACTCCTCGGTTCGGACCTCCACATCCCAGCTGTGCGTCCCAGAGCTGAAGCCCTGGTGGCTGATGACGCAGTGGCGCTGCTCAAACCTCTCTGGGTTACCAGGAAGCTCCCGTCTCGGCCCAAACGTCACCGCCGTCAGATCCGCAGACACGCTCAGGTGCGGTTCAGCCGTGTTTGGGTCCAGAACCACCGGAGAGAAGGAGACCATGCGCTTCATGTTGGTCCAGATGTTGTAGCTCAGGTTGCCCAGATGCTTGGCCTCATCCACCAGCGCTCCTGGGAGAGGCTGCGGCTCATCCAGCGGGGGGCGCTGTTGGACTCTTCCCTTTGCAGCCTTGTAGTTCTGAATCAGCAACACATCCTCAGAACATCTGAACTCTTCTTCTGCTGTTGTGACGGTTTGTGAAAGATCCTCCATGTTCTTCCTCAGAGCCTCCATGTTCTCCTTCATCGCCTGCCTCTTCTGCTCCTCTTCCTCCCTCACAGCTCTGACCCTCTCCTCCTCTTCCTCCTGCAGGAACTGATGAAGTTTCTTAATCTGCTCTTTAATCTGCCTCTCGATTCTGTCAGCCTGGATCTTTATGTGTTCTGCAGTTTTATCACATTTTCCCTGAACCTGTCTGAATTGGGTCAGTTGTTCCTTCAGGGGCTCCAGCTGGTTCTGGAGCTCGTCTCGGCGGTCCTGGGCGGCTTCCTGGACCGGTCTGAAGCTGTGGCCGCTGTGTGCCTTCGAGTCTCTGCAGACGAGACAAACCGGCTCCTCGTGGTCCAGGCAGAACAGCTTGAGTTGCTCAGAGTGCAGACTGCAGAGGGCCTCCGACCCGGCCGGACCTCTCTGACCTCTGCCCAGGAAGAAGGCGAAGCACAGGTTCTTCATCACCAGGTCGGCTGGCGGATCCCTCAGCAGCGACGCCTCCCTGCAGAGCGGACACAGCCGGGTTGTCTTCTGGGCCCAGTCCGTCTGCAGGCAGCTGCTGCAGAAACTGTGCCTGCACTCCAGTTTCACCGGATCGCTGAAGATGCTGCAGCACAGAGTGCAGGTCAGATCCTTCTCCGACTGCAGCAGCATCTTCAGAACAATGATGCTGATCTTCTCTGAAAGATCCCAGTGCTCTGTTCTGTGTCAGCCGTACAGTCAAAGTTTTGTATGATGAGGAGGAGCACCGGAAGAAACGGCTGTGGCACCAGATAACACATTTCCAATGCAAACTCCACATCCACACAGATAAAACTCCTCTGACCTGATATGAAGGAGCTGAACGCTCTCTCTGTTTGAAATGGAAATATCCGTCCAGCCACCGTCTCTTCCAGCAAAGTCCAAACTGGTTTCATATCACAGACCAAAAATATTTCATTTTCAAAACCCCAAATCAACAAAAAGGTTGTAATTTTAAACTAACCCTGAACTATTTTACTTAAACACGGTTTCAATAAACCTCAAATTGTTTTTGCACATTTTTCTTGTTAAATATTTTTTGATGTTTTTAATGTTTATGCAGCTCTTTCGTACTCTTTGTGTTTTTAAAGAGCTCTATGAATATAATTATATCAGATTGGATTAAATGAAATTTACGCAAGCTGGTTAAAATATTTAATCTGTTCTCAGCAATAAAAGCAGGATGTAGCTTTTATTGCTTTATGTTTTTAGTCATTTTTTTATACAGTAATTAAAAGCAGATTTTAGGTCAGGGGTCACCAATGTGGGAAGGCCAAAACTTATAGTAACATGCTCCTCCAGTTTTTCACAAATAACTGCAAAATTCACACAAAAATCAACAGATTCCTCCATTTTTTTCTGATTTTATCAACATTTTTTTCTCAAAATTGGCCAAAAACATTTGGGTTCAAGTGACCACTGCTACTTGATGGCAAGTTATAGTCCACAACTGATAGAGCAATTAATAAAAGGTCACATTTAACATCATATAGTAGAGCAAATATCGTAAAAATTCATAACAAATATTTCAAAATTTATTTATTGATATTTTAACAATTTAATTGGTTTTTATTAATACGTTCTGGCACAACAGGGCCTTTAAGAACATTCAAATTTTTGATCCGGCCCCAAATGGAAATGAGTTTGATGTCTCTGACATATGGGATAAAACAATTCCAACTATTTGGAACATAAACAAGAATCAAGACGCCTGCAAAGGCGACCGTTCAGTTCGTTTACCCATCAACAATTTTAGTGATCTTTAGCAACAACCTGAGCTGAGCAACAACCTGAGAGCCGAGGAAGAAGATTTGCAACAAAAACCCGTCACCGTTTTCCAAGAAAAGGAGGAAAAGTCAACCTGGTTAGAGATTTAAATCAAGAGGTTTCTTCAGAGGAGGGACTCTCAGGATAAACTTTACCAGGTTGTTCCACGGATCCTGAATCCAAGGAAAAGAACAAGATCTCTGGAGAAACCGGCCTGGAGGATTTGGACCATCTAGATATTAAGACCATGCAGAATGGTAAAAAGAAGAAAACTAAATTTTCAATTTGGAAAAGATTGCGAAACCTGGTGGGATTGAAGAAATCAAAAAAGAAAAAAAGTGACGACAATAAAGAACATATCTAATGTTCCTGGTTTTGATATTTAGAGGAGAAAGACGTGCAAGAA